GTTCTCCAGCTGAGGACGGCTACTTGCATTGTGGCCGAAACGTCGTGAGAATTATTTTATTTAGTTTTATTTTTATTATTTTATTATTTCCATTCTACGTGACTTTACCGAAAGAACCAAGAAGATATACAGTATGTTTTTGGTAAATTTCCAGTGTTTAGAAATGTATATTAATGCATTGCTCTACCAGTGTGGATATTGATTTGCCAATCTACGTTTACACATTTACACATCTACAGCCAGGTGTGCATACGTGAAAGCACCTCGCATATTCAGATGAACACTCGGGTGGATGTGCCTGTCATGAATAATGGCCCTTAAAGGTCAGGTTTTGCTATTGTGAGGCACAGCCACGAGGAGCATTTAAAATGTGCTTCTTCTGTACGCCTTCTTCACGTCGCAAGCCGCACGACACAAGAACCAGTTGCGTTAACCCTACCAAAGTCCAAAGTTCAAAGACCACTGGAGTGAAGGCAGCCGGGCACGGTGTCTGCTAGCTCCCTGTGTGTGCACAATACGTCGTCAAGTGTTTGAAAACAGGGCCTTGCTTATTTGCACTTTCCATATGAGAGGCACACTCCAGTTATGGTCCTGTGTGATAATACAGTCCTTTCAGAAATGACGAAACCACACAAAATTCACTCTGTCCTTATGATCCTTTCACACTGATGACTCACTGCCATTTTTAGGTTATTTTAAGCCTATAATAGAGTGAGGGTTTCTCTATGAAAGCCTTTTATGGATTGCTGTTAAGTGTACATAGCTTACCGCTTGCACAGATTGTACCCAAAAAGCATCCCCTGCGATGCCCAATGAAGGATTGAGTGTGGACAGTCCTGAGCCAATAAACACAACTCAGTGCTATCATTGAAAAACTGTCTTGTTATAAATCATCTTCCATCACATTGGACACAAGAGCTATATATTTCCAAGCATCATAATTCAAAACGTCTACCTTCCAAATAAAGAGCTCAAACATGAAACAAAAATGGTATTGCCCATACTCATACAGGAGATGTTTAATTTTTAAATCCTTTATATTAAGTTCGCTTGCTTGCTTGCTTGCGTGCTTGCGTGCTTGCTTGCTTGCTTACGACCGTGCAAATCTTTCGGTCGTTTTTTAACCCACTTCCCGTGATCCAATCGAGCTGACATTTTGCACACAGACTCGTTGTGCGAGACAATTAATGTTCGTGAAAATTTTTTTCTAAAATTTTACCCTGTTTAGGGAAAACAAATTAAATATTTAATTACCAATTGCTTAATACTGGCAGACAATCATCTGACCCATAGGTGGCAGCCATCTCAAGCCAGAGGACGAGAGGACTCTAGCCGCCACGCATATAAAGGATTTATAGTGAAAAACTTTGTTTTTACGGGTTATACTTATAAGGAAATGTTGATTTTACTCTGCGGACATTTACTGCATATGCTGCCATGGTGTACTGGTGAGCACACTGGACTTTCAATCCAAAGGTCGCCTGTTCAATCTCTCGGCAGTTGAAACAATGGACACGTTTCTTAATTCCGCCCAGCAGTAATAATAGGTTTTGCGTGTGGCTGGGAGAAAAAAGTGTGTGTGGGTAATAACATCTCTTCCAAGACGTAGGCCAATATACCCTCTCGTGGTGCCCTTTAGAATCCCCTGTAATGAAGACCCTTACGCCAGCAGGGGTACGAGAAAGAAATTGCAGGGCTACACCTTTAGCTCGTTTACTTCATACAGGGTGAGAGATAGAAGTGATAATGGTGTCTGGTCGAACTAAGCTAGCACCTTTATCACGCATCACTGGGAAGCTGGTAAAAGTGTATTGATAACTTGTTTGGAGAACACCTGTAGGATGGTGTCTTCATTTAGAACTGTGCATGGCCATGTGAGTCCCTAGATACTGCGAATAACACTTAAACTAATGGTAAGTGCTTTCATGCTCTGCCTTAGCACGTCACGGAATTTCATTTTTGCTAAATCTCTAAAACACGAATGTATGAGTTGTGATCATTTAAACATACCTTTATATTACATTGTTCTACAACAATGTGATTTGTTTCCAATAATTACCACAACGCTGTTGTCCGTGAGCGTTACATATCCATCTTTTAACTTGGGTTAAAATCCTGTAAAAATGCTGTTTCATGGTTGCTTAAACAAAATAGATCTCATTAAATCACTCACTGTCCTCCTACTCACCAAAAAAACAAGACAATATCTATCACAAGACAATATCTATCATTATAATGTAAATGCTTACCCCGAGCTCGCAATACTCTGATGGTGTGTTGTCTTTGATTTGTGCACCTTTTGGCGTCATCTGGTCCAACACCATGTGAGACTAGGCTCTAAGAAAAGCTGTCTAGGGTGTGGACCAATCAGTTTCAAGGACAATGCATACATTATCAGAGTTGTCTTTTTGTTTGCATTTTCACCGCAAGTGTTGTGGTTAATGCAAACATGATCCCTTGTATAAAGGTGTCAGTTTTGTTGCCAGGTAAAAGGGTAAAAAACCTATTATTAATCTCTCTCATTCGCTTCAAAATCCATGACTCCCTCACCTGCGTGCTTCTTTCTTCTCATGTTCATTCCCATCACTTCATCTCCCTCCTCATCTGCCTCTCCCCGCTCCCACTGGTTCAGTTCTACGGCACTGCCTTCCCAATCAATCTCACGGTTTTTTGTTGTTGTAGAATGTAGCGTTTCTCTTTCTCCTCTGATACTCCTACAGTCTGGAAAATTCCTTGCATTGTTTGTCTATTTTGGACTCAGTCTATTTATGGGACCCTGTCACGGTGTACTGGTGAGCATGCTGGACTTGCAATCCAGAGGTTGCCAGTGTTTGGTTAATCTTCCGGTTGAGGCAGATTAGAAAATGGTGCAACTTTCTAAGATTGCCTCCGCAGTTTCTAAAATTCTACCCTTCCCCCTCAGACATATAAATGAGTGCACCGCAGTTTGTCGATTGGCAAGTTGTATGTGGTGCAGTAAAGTCACTCAATCAATGTTTATTTTATGTGCCAATATCGCACTCAGTAAAGTAGGCATCGGTACACATTACAGCAGAATGGGAACGGTACAGGCGGCAAAGAGCAAGAGGAATGAAAAAAGTGCGGTTACGCCTCCAGCAGTGGCATGAGCAAGCAGTTTCAGGGCTGTACCTTTGTCCAACGTATCTTGATATAATGTTATCTATTTTTAATAGCTGAAGCGTCATCAAGTTCATCTTCTTGGTTCTTTCGGTAAAGTCACGTAGAAGGGAAGTAATAAAATAACATTATATTATTTTATTATGTTTTATTTTTATTATTTTATTACTTCCCTTCTACGTGACTTTACCGAAAGAACCAAGAAGATGAATCCCTGCAGTCACGAAAGCTTTAAATGGAAACTTCATCAAGTTCTCCTCAGTGTATATCTGATTGTATGTGGTGTTTAAATACTGTTGTGTACCGTATTTATCCAGAGAGCTTAACTGAGAATTCAGTTTCAATCATAAAACAAGTTTCAAAGTGACTGCAGAAGTTTATTTTATTTGGTACACGGATGTGCGTGAGCACAGCAACAACAAAACAAAGACATCAATATTGCACAGAACGAGCAATAGGGTGCTTAGGGAATATTGGACACCTAATTTTTTCACGTATTTAACAGTTGTTTCAATGTAACACACAAATCAAAAACTGTGCAAATGTAATCTTAAAATTATAGGTACAGTGTGCAGGTACGCTCTATATTTTAGTCGAACTGAGCCATAAACACACGCAAATCAACAAGGACAGTGCAACATATGGGAGCAAGAGGTGCCACAAAAGTTACATGCATGTGCAAGTATGCTCTGTGTTGTGAGTATTGTGTAGCATTTTATTTCTGTACTTGACGGCAGGGTGAAGCAGTGTTAACACTCTTTATTTACCATTTCTCCTTTGCTTATTGTTGCATTGCGAAAAACACTCACATACATGTGGGTGGTTCAGCAGCAGCAGTCGGAAACTTCTAAAGATGGGTCAGCATTCTGTCTAAATCTTGACTTAAAGCTTTCGTGACTGCAGAAATTCATATTCTTTGGGTCTTTCGGTAAAGTCACGTTGATAGGTTCAAAGAAAATAACAAAAAAATAACAAAAAACTACTGACGTTTTTTTCTCCTCCTGATGACGATCGCTTGTGTTGTGATCGAAACGTCATAGTTATTTTTGTTATTTATTTGAACCTATCTACGTGACTTTACCGAAAAACCCAAAGAATAAGCATTCGGTCTACTTTGCTGTCTCCTGCATCCACCTTGGCAGTTTCATGCCTGCCATATCGAAATGTCCTTATAAGCAATACAACACATGGCACAATTTCACACTCAGTTTTACATTGTTGTGCCTTGAAGGTCAATAACCATTCTGTAATACTGGAGGAGTGTATGGAAAGTCAAATCAGGCGTTCGCTTGATTGGATTATTGACTGCTTGTTAATATGTTCGGTGTGGTGAGTAGAGAATACTGTACTCCCTTTACAATTACAACGGTGTATGGCAAACTGTGCCTCAGCACATTTGCACATATTTTGATAATTTGCTCAAACTCTCGAAATATTGAAGTTTGAACCATGCTCATTTTAACGAGGCAAGGGTCTATTGATGCAGCCTGTTTGTGAACGGTGATCTGTGGAAAATTCAACGTGACGTAAAAAACTAAATTACAGCCGGTCACGCCGAGATGATGCTTGTTTGTATTTTATCGTACTTTTAACTCTGTGAATTCATGCTGAATATCTATTAAAACAGTTAAATCAGCCATACAACAACATCACGTGTTTGTTGGGAAATAAGCAGGTTTAGTAAAAGCCAGAAATGTGTTCCATAGAATTCACCATATTTTATGTAAAATTCACATTATTTAAATAATTCCACTGTATATATTTTTTTAAAATTGTAACAACACCACTTTATGTAAAAAGTGACTGCATGTTCTGTGCCCTTTGTCCCTGTGATAATCATTTCAACAATTTCATTTGTCCAGCCGATTGACTTTGAGGGATTCAAGCTGTTCATGAAGACATACCTCGAGGCAGAGGTCCCAGAGGAGCTGTGCCGACATCTCTTCATGTCGTTTACACGCACGGACAGGCACCCGGCTCCCCTGGGTCAGTCACAGTGTACGAGCACTTCACAGATCATCGAGACCGGTACTTGCCAGCACACACACGCGCATGCTTTCATTCACTTGTGATCTGTCAACTCTGCCACCCCTACAGGGCACATAAGTGAGTTTATTTGGGGTCACAATAACCCCCAGAAACATTTCAGATTCTAGACAAAGTACCTGATTTAGTTAAGTGCGGCATAAATATCGTATGTCTACATTATTTCTTTTTTACAATGTTTGCATTTTGAGTTCTGCTGCTTTAACCACGTAAAACAGCGCTTGACAATAAAAAAAACCATTGAAAATGTTTAATGATCAAAAATATATCAGTAAAATTGTTACCAGGAAAACAACTCGTGTCACCGTGTTTGGAGTGCGCAAACCACTATCGCACCATTGTCTGTTTAAGCAGACATGCAACGTGACACTAATGCACTTTTGTGCATAAACACATCTGTGCGACAAGCTGTGGTTCTCCTTTGCACAAATGCCAATTAAGCTGATATGTTCACAGCGCAATTGTCAGTTCGGTTATTTTATGGAACACTGTCAACAGGAATTAGATAATGATTAGTGCGACAAGTTTGTTTTCATTACATTGTCTCAATAATTTTTTCGTATGCCTTTGCGTACCTTGCAGACACAGGAAAAGCGTGCATTTCTGCTTGTATAATTTCATCATATTTTAGGGTTGCTTTCTCCAAAGTCATTGTATTGTGAATGATATGTATTGGGTAAACAAAATACAGGGCAGTGCTCATATGATCGCCTTCCAGATTCTTATTTCGAAATGTTACTTTTCATTTGGGATCAGATAACTCTTTAAATTCTTACATTTTTACCAGAAAATTTATTTAAAATTTCAACTCAGAGGGTTACAACACTTTCAATAATAATTGATCTCCTCTAATACAGTGCTGTCACTTTATTTAAACTGGCATAGCCGAATAGGATGGAATTCAAAGCAATCATAAACTTTGCAATGATTTTCTGTATTTGTCAGTGACTGAATGGGCTTAAATAATCAAATTGGCTAAACCAAAATATTGCAGATTGAGTGGATACTATTTCCATTCTGCGTATATGTGTCTTGAGCTCAAAAACAGGAAATGCAAGTGCCTTGCCTGGCTCAGTTCCCTGAGAAGATGCAGTCGATCAGTGTTTTAGAAACTCCACTCCTCATGACCCCTCCACTCTCTGCCTTTTACGTAATTGCGGATAATTCCTATTTGTATGCAAATGAAGCATTTGTACACTGCATGTATCTGATGGTTGGTAATTGCAGAAAGCTGTGTACAGCTGTACCATGCATGGGGCTGGAGTTAACTCACTGGACACCCGTGCAGTTGAAACAACTTTCACTTCTGAGCTGCATCGCACAAGTACACTGTAGTAATACAGTTTGTGGAAACAATACATCATTTGGACAACATCTCAGTTAACTAAATACACTCTACGTGGTGTACCTGGGATCCTGCATGTAATTTATCACGCAATTCTAGTTGTGATTATCCATTTTGTATTCATATCCCGGCCCAAATGTAGTGATGTGTAGGTATGGCACTGATAATTATATTCGTCTAACATTATTGCACTCTTACTTTAGTCAAACACAGCTTTGCAGTTTAAAATGAGTAACTAACATCTTGTATTTTCTTTTTTTTTGATGATGCCGGAATGAAAATACGGTATTACTTCACGAAATCAAAAGCAACTTAATAATTCACATTCGTATTTGAGGTCTATGATTATAATTATTGATAATTATTGCGGCCGAAAATAATGCAATGAAATGGTGACATTATTCTCCCAGGTGACCATTGTATTGTTGTCACATTCAGTCATCTGGAAGAAGATAAAAACAATTGATGCCCTCCAACGTAGCATTGCTTATTTACGTCGTGCCTCATTGCTGTTCAATCATACTGGTAGGAACCTCCTGGTTACACCAGCCCACAGGGGATTATTGTCTCCGTCGTGCAGGGAGGGGCTGGGTGGGGAGGGAGGGGCTGGGTGGGGAGCGGCTGGGTGGGGAGGGAGGGGCTGGGTGGGGAGGGTGGGGAGGGGCTGGGTGGGGAGGGTGGGGAGGGGCTGGGTGGGGCTGGGTGGGGGGTGGGAGGGGTGGGGCTGGGTGGGGAGGGGCTGGTCACCCCGTGGTGCCCTTATAAAACTCAACGTTTAACCTACTCACGCCGGCTTGTGCCCGCCCTCACAGTCGGGCATATTTGTGGTATACACCACGCCGCCGTTGACCCTGGCAATTGACGAGCAACCCAACGTTCCTACCAGCTCCCTCCGCAGGAATGTGTTTCTTACAGACCAGAGGCTAAAACACACCAACACCTCTGGCTTGATACTAGTATTATTGCGAGAGCGTTTCCAGTGAAGAGCTTATTCTTGCAAAAAACACGCCTGTGCCTACATAACACTGATCACATGTGAAGGCAATTAATCTCAGCCAGAGGCCATGTTTTTGAAAGAGATGGCAAAACTATAATTAATATCACCGTGGTCAACAAAAAAAACCCAACAGAATATATGTACATGATACAACCATTCTGCATCACTGTCTGGGAAAGCAGCCTCAACCATAAAAAAAAAATACTCGCTGAAGATTGTAAATATTGTGAGGGGACCTATATACTGCTGATGGAAATTATAACTGATGTAATTATTAGGATGGATAACTAGCTGTTTGCCACACCTGCCACTGAAGCAGTTTGCACAAATCTGACAGTTCAATTTGAGCATGGTCTGATAATGCTTCAGGGCTATTCAGGGCAATATAAATACCGTACACGGTTCGGCACTTCTGTATGTGTTACTGAATCAGAATGAGCACATGGAGGCCACTGCTAAGCTTTTAACTTGACGAAATGTTTTATTAATACAAAAATGAATGTTCGGAAAACTGGTCGGATTAAAGCATGTGATAAGAGGGATCAATATGCGTCAAGTGAGACGTGATTTATTTCACGTTTGCCTTGCCTCATTGTGAGTCTGCGACGCTGATGATAACGTGGGCACGCCTTGCAATGCAGCTGCTCTGGATCACCAGTGGTCTGAGGCATGGGTTCAAAACATCTTCAAAGTAGTCTCCTCTGGTTAAAAGTGACTTCCTGCTCAAGTGAGTATGAATGTGGTGCTCATCTTCTGTTAACGGCCCTGAACCGGTAGTGGTAGAAATTCCTCATTCCTATGATAGGGGCACATCTTTCTTCAGGACAACGGCCATAGCTTTCCCCACAAAGTGGTACTCGTAGTATTAACCCCAGGGGGATTCTGGGCAGAGTCGACTCACAACCAGGATTTGAACTTGCAACCTTTTCCAAAATCGACTGCTTTAGTTCATGTTTTGGTTCTACATTTAGCAGCGGAATAAGAGGCCAGATTACCAAACAGAGGAGCTCTCTACAGCTCCCTCTAGTGGAGGCTCTTTCTGTCAGCATTGGCATGAGCAAGAATTTGCAGGGCTGCACCTTTACCTAATCGGTAGCTATTTTGTTAGGAATTGTGCTGTTTATTCCATAAATAGACTTCACCGATGTATGGAGATGTAAAGCCATAGTGAGACAGCTGTGATACAGCATTAGGGGGTGGGGGCAGGGGGCAATTATGAGAGACATGTCTGCAAATTTGACCATGTCTATTTGGCTGTAAAACCGTGGCCTTTGCAAACATTTTTCTCCACTTAAGTGTCTTAATAGCCTGAGCAGATAACATTGTAGCCATAGCTTTCATGTGAGCTTGTGTGCACTTTAGATAATGCATTGGATTTGGGTAATACGATAAAAGCAATCTAAATCATGATGTGTACCAAAATGTATCTCATAACAATTTCAATCCCTCATTATGAATATTATTTAAAGACAGAAATGTAATATCGTCCGTTATTTTTATCGTCCCTTTTTATGCCCCTTAACCTAAGCCATGGGTTTTATATTAAGGATAAATACGACGCGTTGGATGAGTGAAGTGCTGCATTGAATGGCAGGCTGTGTTTTAATTGTGGACTGAGGCTCACCTCTCCTATTACCCTTCTTTTTGTAGACAGTGGCAAGGCCGGTGAGAAGAGGCTTGGCCAGAAAGGCGGTGGGGTCGGTGGACCGAGTCTCGTAAAGTCTGCTTCTCTGGGGGATGTCAGCCAGACACAGGCTGTGCACCTCAAGGATATTGTGTGCTACCTCTCGCTGCTTGAGGGCAGCCGACCCGAAGACAAGCTGGAGTGTAAGTTATATTTTAGTATTCACATGGCCACTCGTGCAGCCCTCCTGCAGTTCGTACATCTGCCCTGTGCACTAATGCAGCTTTACAATCGTCCTTCCACGCAGCCATCCGTTCACTCTTTTCTTTCACGTCGCTACAAATCCATTCATTTAATTATCAAATCCTCCGTTAGATTAAGCAAGCAGTCATTTGTTCACTCATATAGCATACATTCATATTAATCTATTAATTTGTCCGGTAATCCAGTCATTCATATATTAAATCATAATATTACTTCACCCATAAATCCACCTCTGCAGTATTCTTTGAAATACATAAATTATTTGCTTTTTCTGACATAGCCTGCTCAGCATGAAATCCAAGACTCCTCCGTTTTATCCTCATCTCATTCATGCACGATATTTTATGGATGCATAGTTGTAAAGAATGCTATGTGGCTATTTTTTTTACTTTGATGCCTTTCGCAGAATCAATGTTGTATAAATTATGAGGTTACACGGAGAAAATTCTTAATTCTTGGAGAGCACCATCAGGGCCAGCACTACATATTGCATGGCATATGTCAGTTTCTTTATATCACATTGAAAGGGCCAGGGGGACATTATGAAGAGGGCCATGTCTTGATACGCTCCTCATTTATTTGTAAATGTTAATTCTCATTGTTTTAAAATATGGTTACAAAAGGTAAATTAATGAACATTGTTTTTAGTATTCTTTGGGTCTTTCGGTAAAGTCACGTAGAACAAAAAAATTACCAAAAAACTACGACGTTTCGATCGCAACGCAAGCAATCGTCATCAGGAGGAAAAGAAAAGGAGGAGGGAAAGCTGCTGAGGCAGGCTGTTTTAAAGGTTTGAAATTGGTGTAGGTCAAGGGTTATAAACGAAGTGTGCGGGGCTCGTGATGTTAAAGTGAGAAATTTTCATGTCAATGTAAGATCGGAGAGCTACCTTCACGATGAGGGCACGGAGGTGGCCATTGTATTGTGAGAGATTAGCATGTCAATGTAAGATCAGAGATTAGCATGTCAATGTAAGATCAGAGATTAGCATGTCAATGTAAGATCAGAGATTAGCATGTCAATGTAAGATCAGAGATTAGCATGTCAATGTAAGATCAGAGATTAGCATGTCAATGAAAGATCAGAGGTTAGCATGTCAATGTAAGATCAGAGATTAGCATGTCAATGTAAGATCAGAGATTAGCATGTCAATGTAAGATCGGAGGGCGAGTTCCACATCGAGGGCGTGGAGGTGGCTATTGCAATGTGAGCGATTAGCATGTCAATGTAAGATAGGAGAGCTAGCTCCACGACTACGAAGCTGCGGAGGTGGCTATTGCAATGTGAGAGATTAGCATGTCAATGTAAGATCGCAGAGCCACTGCCACGTGGAGGACGTGAGCGACAGTGGCTGTCTTAGCGTGAGACATTTAACCTGTTCATGTAAAATCAGAGAGTCGAAAATAGCAACTAACATCGGAAGGTAGGATGGAAACATCACAGCCAGTTATGACTTAAACTGGTTAATAACGTCCTTCCAACGATTGCTCAGTTTGTACCCATCTTCTCGGTTGAAATTGTGTCTGTGTCTATTTATCTGGATGGCTTCATGAACGAATCTTTGTTGATAGCCAGTGGGTTTGCAAAGTACCTTCGTCTTGGAGAAATCAATTTCGTGTGAGCCCACCGCATTAAAACAATGATCAGCCACGGCCAAGGTATTGGTCCTACAGTGTTTCAGATCTGCCTTATGTTCACGAAGACGGTTCTTTTTTCCTCCTGATGACGCCTACATGAACATGCTAATCTCTCACATTACAATAGCCACCTCTGCGCCGTCTCCGTGGAAGTCGCCCTCCGATCTTACATTAACATGCTAATTTCTCACTTTAACATCACTATCCCCGCCCACTTCGTTTATGACCGTTAGGCTACACACATTTCAAACCTTTAAAACAGCCTGCCTCAGCAGCTTTCCCCCTCCTGTTTTTCCTCCTCATGACGATTGCTTGTGTTGCGATCGAAACGTCGTAGTTTTTGGTAAATCTTTTTGTTTTACGTGACTTTACCGAAAGACCCAAATAATATGAATTCCTGCAGTCACGAAAGCTTTAAGTCAATTGTTTTTAGTCTTCGAAGAATGTGTCGTCGTTAAGTGTGGCGGCCTGTGGAATGAACAAATGGAGCAATATGTCACCTGCTTGACCATTGAAATTAAATGCTCCCATTGTCATCCCCAGCATTACCAGATTACTAGAGAAATCATTTTAGCAATTTAATCATATGGTGAGGGTAAGAAAATGTGATGCCACCAGCTTCATGACCCACGGCTTCATTGACCATATGTTAGCGTTTGCATCAAGATGTACTACTTCGTGGTATAGCGCTTTGGGGATGAGGGCCACCCATTGTATGCAAAGGGGTAATGGTACTCAGGGGGCTGGAGTGTGCATCTATTGGTAGATCATAAGTGGTGATGTGAAGCATGGGTTTCCGAATTATTGAATCCTTTTGTTGAGCTTTAAAACTGAACCAAATGCCCCAGTGACGATGAGACTTTTACCCGCAGAGGCAAAAGCAAAGCTCTCGGTGCATAAGTTCTATTTTGATCATAACTAGTATCTGGGGTGGAGCTGTGGCACAGTGGTCAGTGCACTGCACACTGAACCCACGGATCTGAGTTGATTTCCCGCTATGAGTCACATCAATGGTGAGTGACATCTGGGCATGTCCTGGGTCCTCAATTCATCATTCCTCGTGATTAAGTATGGTCAAACAACCCCAACATAGCTTAGGGAGAAGACCCTACGTGTGTACGTATGTGGATTTGACAGAGCGTTGTAAATGTAATATATCAATATAGACTTGTTGAGTCATATGAACTCAAATATTGATCCTTCACTTTTTCTGTTTGTAAGCCAAACAGTTTACCAGCAATGTGCTTTAGAAGCAGAATGTAGCTCAGGTGAAAAAGAAGATCCTTACAATTTGCACATTACGAGTCTAAATTGCCAAGTTACTTGGGATAAATATATCACAGCTGGATTAGTCTCGCTGACGTTCTGGCTTGACTCGTACTGGAACCAGACACTGGTAATGCCCCTTTTTCCGTGAAATAAAATTGCCTTAATTTTGTTGTTGTTCACGGATTGTCAATTTCTCTGGTGCTGATCATGTGTGTGGTTCGAGATCCTGCATTGGTAAATATCATGAGTACCCCCGTTGCCATTATACAATCATTTAAACAAAAAACACATTGTTAAGCAGGCATTGCATGGGCTCTGCTGCATGGCTTTCATGATGGGGGCTGAATGAGTATTGATTGGTTGACAAAGGTGTTTCTCCATAATAGGCAAAGGGGAAGACTTTTCTGGTTTTGCTGATTGTGCAAATAGACAGCATTGGGCAACACAAATTCAGAAAGCTGTAATGATCCAAGTCAGACCTTTAATAGATCACTATTTTTTCATGTTGAATGGAATGGCATTTTGAAATGCATTTCTTTACATTTTTAACAGTTTAGATTTGAAGTTTTCGTGACTGCAGGGATCCATACTCTTTGGTTCTTTCGGTAAAATCACGTAGGTTATAAAATAAATTAAATAACGACGTTTCGATTGCTGTTGTTTTCCCACTTGATGATGATTGCTTGTTTTGCAATTGAAACGTCGTGATTTAACTTATTCGATTTTATACCTACGTGACTTTACCGAAAGAACCAAAGAGTTGAAACAGTTTGTTCATGTGTATTGTTGCAATGTGGTTTGCCTCTACAAATTCATTATTTATTCTACACACAATGGCACCTCTTTTGCATACTGCAATGAACAAGGGACATTGCACAACACTTTAGCCATCTACCGTGCAGAATGTTCCGTTATAATAGTAGCAATATTTAATAGCTTTTTGCCAATCAATTTCTGGATAAAGGCCTCTCCATGCTATAAACTATAAACATTTTTTTTTATTTGACCAGGTAAGGCCCACTGAGCTATATAGCTCATTTTCAGAAGCGACCTTGCAACAAATGATAGCTCAATGAAGTGTATAGCATCCGATTACTCAAAACGCGCGACCACGGGAAGAACATACAAACTCCAAATATACAGCAGGCGTCACGGTCGGGATCGAACCCACGACCTCCTACATGCCAGGCGAGGTAGTTAACATCACGCCACCACGATGGTTGGTGCAGGTTGATGAAGGGGGGGCGGGGGGGGGCAGGACTGGTTCACGATTCACTCACCACTGATGCTAGCCACGGATGGGAATCCAGCTCAGTAAATTGGGTTCATGGCACAGTTCATGAATCCACTCACTCACCACTCCACCCCAACGTGAGGTGTTATGTTTTGCGTTGTGTGTTTACACAACACTACCGACGCAGTCCTTTATGGTTTTCATTTATACTACATTGGGGGGGAAATTTTTTTTATTTTTTTACAAAAAAAAAAACACTTTGTGGGAGTGGGTAATTGTGTATGCATAGGTGGTATTTACTCATTGCTTCCCACACATTTAGTGAACTTACCATTGCATTTGCGTGCTATACACCGTGATGGATTGCTTTGTTTCAGGCTGGGACAGCCAGCTGGTGCTCGTGCCAAATACCCCAGAGCAGGGAGGCGTTCGAGGGGGGTAACTTATGAGATGCCCAAGCAGCTCAGTTCCTCACTCGCCCTCTTCATTAGCCAGTGCCCTCTGCGTAGTCACTCCAAGCCCATGCACTGTTGTAGTGACCACAGTTCTACAACGTAGAGTCGAGCATATCAAGTATGGGGCGCTAATGAAGGACCCTGCATTGTTCTGCGGACACTTAGTCGGTCAGTGTTGCATGATATGTTGCATTATGTATAAGGAACGGTCATTACTTCGCAAAGTTGAATTAGAAGCCCCCAGATGTATTGTCTATTTTCTTGGTTCTTTCGGTAAAGTCACGTAGAAGGGAAGTAATAAAATAATAAAAATAAAACACAATAAAATAATTCTCACGACGTTTTGGCCACAACGCAAGCAGCCGTCCTCAGGTGAAAACCAGGTCTGTCGAGGCGACAGAGTCTGAATGAAACAGCACACGAGCTTGGAGCATATATATAAGCTGGGCGCCTTGACAAAGGAATTTGCATATCAATGAATTTGCATATCGAGGAATTTGCATATGAAGATGAATCCCTGCAGTCACGAAAGCTTTAAATCGAAATGTATTGTCTATTTATATGGAACGCACTTTCAAACTTAACTGTTGGTGTTTGGGTGCATTTGTGTGGCTGGATTCTATCTGGTTCCTGCAGGGGCCCACACATGTACATGTTTCCAGTGGCAGTAGCCTAGCAGACGAGGGCCTTGCCTCACTATTCCATGGTGAATATTAGGTGGATATAATAACTTTATTCTTGATTTTACTTTACATAATATTGCAAAAATTACCGTTTTAAAATACATTAAAACCATTAAGCCTGAGAGAAGCACTTTACAGATTTGTAAACAGTAGATGTAGCGAATTGGTAAAGATTTTTTTTGTAGAAGTGATACATTTTTTAAAAATGTGTTACAGTTGGTGGTGTAATGGTTAGCAAACTGGACAATCCAGAGATTGCCAGTTCGATTTCGTGGCATTGGGGTTGAAACAACGAGCACGTTTCTAAATTCCCCCCTCCCCACCTCTGTCGACCCTCAGCAGTATAAATTGATACAGCACAGTTAGTCGATCGGCAGGCTACATGTTATATATATATGGGTATTTTCACCGTTTCAGATATGTCTGGCTGGCGTGCAAGGGTCGGCCAAAACACCATCCAGAGGGCTTCTCTAGAGCTCCCACAAGTGTGAGGGGTGGGGGGGCTTCTACCAACAGTGGCTTGAGCAAGCAATTGAAGGGCTGCACCTTTAATCTTACAAAAACATGTTTATAATTGTAATAAATGCGACAGGGCATGGAGAGAATATTTCGTTACCTTTCTAAAAAATAAAGGACCTTTATAAAACATAAAGGTCACTTATAGAGGATTTTGGAGTTGCAATCTTTGTTCAAATGTATATTTTTTCATGAGAGATTTGTTTCTAGAAGTGAAATGGTTAAAGTTGAACTCAACATATCACTATATTATTCTTCTGGTAAAGTCACGTATAAAGATAAAATAATAAAATAATAATTTAAATAATAGCATACTATTTAATTTATTATTTTATCTTTATACGTGACTTTACCGAAAGAACCAAAGAATAATTCCTGCAGTCACGAAAGCTCCTAAATTATTCGTGCAGGTAGCAGAATTTTATTGACATGGACAACTAACCACCCTATGTCACCAGTCCCAGCAGCAATTAGGGTTTTCTTCCTTCGTGTTTGTCTTGTAAAACAAGCAATGGATACTTGTCCCCATTTCAGCTGCAATACAAGAAACCAGGTCATATGTACGGTATATATGCAGTAAACTCAATAGGTAAATAAAAAAATTGTGATTTTAAGGAGAAATATACAATTCGTGGAGAGAAATGTGATCCTCTCAAAAGGTACGGTTATACTATATGATAGATCCGTATTATTCCTAATTTCAGATGGATGAAAAAGATGAACTTTTATTTGGATGGTCTAATCTTTCAGGGTAACAATCACATGATTTCATGATTGTTAGAATGCAATTTATTTGTTAAAAACGCAATTCTCTTAAATTATTTGCATACATTTTAAGAGCGTCTTGTGTGGTATATATTTTCTGCGTATACCCACACAGCTGCAGAAGCCTGACGTTCATTGTTGAGAAACTCAATGAAAAATTATTTTTATTCCATTTGGTGAACTTTATTCATGTATCCTTTGCCAATACAGTGCTAGCAAGTCTACACACTTTCCCAGCTTGTTAAAGGCTCCAGTGATGCACTAAGGATGAAAAAGGGTCCATGCACCATTTTTAATTCGTTGTTGCTTTGAAACAAAGCTAGGGGCAGGAGGAGGGGAGGGACGCAAGTTGCTAGTATTTCACCCAGAATTTGGCTACACCTTGAATTTCATTATAGTTTAGTCACGGAGCCTGATTCTGGAAGCATTCGTCCAAGAAAAAAAAAACGTATTTTTGTTCAAAGGAGGATAAGGCCCATTACAGCATGCAGCATGGCTCAGAAGACCAGATTCTCATTTTATATATTTATTTTATTTTATGGTGTTACCAGCATTTTATGTTGAAATGGCACTCTGCCACATGATGACAAATATCCAATAATATATTGATTCAGTGGAGGCAGCTGCAGAAATCTGATGTGGAATTGTGAAAATATAACCGTGGTCATCTTGAAATGATTGCTTGTTTTCAGTATCTGGATTCCTGCAGCACTGAACATATATCAACCCTTGTTGACGTTTTGGCGAAATTTGAAGTTGACGTCCGCTTATCTATGCAAACGAGACATCAACGTTTGGCTCATTCCACAAGTCGTAGAAAACTGGAGTCTGTGCCGCCACAATGAAACAGCGAGGTTAAAGGAAAACATCCTCAAGTCTCATTGACTTTTTTTGCCTAAATATTACAATGCCCTAAGATATTCACAGAGACATATTTTACATGGGTAAAAAAAAGAAATCACAAGCAGAGTGATTCATTCACGCACAACAGGAGTGCTTTCCACGGCGTAGACTCTCAACACAGTGTGACTGAATGCCGCACATAAATAGGCCTGCAGGCTGGGTACACGCCCTGCATGCTAACGGTGCTATCCTGCAACCCATGCTGGTGAGTGGCATTGCCTGCCAGCTCGAAAAGCCTGCACACTGGGCACAAGTGTAACATGCCACGTGTACAGGTTTCCAGGGCAACCACGGCATTAAGAGATGGTTACATGTTTGTTATGTGGGTGAGCCCCAAACAACACAATACAGCATATTGCTGCTCCGATGCTTATTTGCTTATGCTCAAATAGATGGGGGGGGGGGGGGGGGGATATATCGTGTTACATTTAAAAAGAATAGCCTGCTGTATACTTGAAAAAAACAGTGCTGTTAAGGGATTACTGACAAACCACATGTTTTACATGAATTCTAAATTGTTTGAAAGATATGAACAATTTGTATATTTTCCATGTATTTATGCTGCACAATGACTCTTCCCAGAATTGACAGAGGTGATGTTTAATAATGACAGCCGCAAAAATAATGCGAGCAGAATGTGTATGACGAATGTGGCACTAAATGCATTGATGGAAACGTCCAGAACAGGGAAAATCCAAGCAGACATCCTGAAATTTGAGAACCATTTGCAGTGCTTCGCAATTTCAACAAAACGCTCTTCTTAATTGATTCTGCAGAGCCCACATGCATGTTCCCCACTAACCCTATCACTTTAAAAATACTAAAGTCAAAGTGTAACCTGGCTTAAAAAAGTCCTTTATTTATTGAGAGTTGCTTAGAGTAACCAGACTTCACATGTGATAAGTACAAGTGCCACGATTCTTTTTCTCTACTTTAGCAGAGGCCCATTCAGGTACACAGAGGTTTTTAAAGCTTGCTATGAAATCCGTTTGTTACCACCTTCACCTCCTCCCGTGTGTCACCGATTCCAGTCATCTTCCCACACGTAATGGACAGCATTGCCCCTCTTGCTTATCACTGTGAACTCAATCATCCCCCTCCCCTCACTGTTAAATGTTAATAGAAAAAATGATGCCATCAATCAAATGTGCTCAGGTCTATTCAGCGTTATCTTCGTTGAGGTATTCAATCGGCATCCTGTGAGTTATATGAGCAGTAAGTAATGTTGTGTTCAGTCCGACTTATCGATACACACAAGTCTCTCTCGTGTGAAACGCATTGTATAACGCAGTTTAATTGGAGTCACGTTGACTCCAATTAACACAGAGGTCTGATTGTCTTGGTCAGTGGCATACACCCACTGGCAGGAGTCCATATTCTGTAGGAGCTTTCATCTGAATCAGCGGTGCTGTTTGGAAGAAAACCACTGGGGAAACACAAGTTTATGAATCCAGATTAGCGTACATGGCCAATGAGGTATCTTTCTATCACAAACATAAAAGCGATATAGTAATTCAGGAATACATATAATATCGCTGTACTGTATTGCATTTGGATCGTGCTTGAGGTGTTTATGTTTTGTGTACATTTATTGGTATTGGAACTTCACTGTCGGAAGTTTTGCCTATCCTGGGGTAAAACAAACCAACAGTAGTGCACTGTCTTAACTTCCCATCTCGAAAGCCATACCATATAATCCCAGCTAGAGGTTATCGGCTGGGATTGCTCTTCGAGTATGTATGATTATTTATTCGTGGTTCAACATCGCCACCATAGGTTCAAGTTGGGACTGCAGACGTAGAAGAGGCAAGGTTGCCGCTTGCCAAACTTGAGAATGCACGCGAATCTGAAAAAAATTGTTCGTAAAAAAACCCCTTAATTTTTTAATACATTTCATCGAAATTTAGAATGTAATACGTGTCGCCCTTGTCAATGACATTCATCATCTGAATGGGTTCTCACTTGGTTACATTTAAATACAATAAATTCCGTCTGTTCTCAAGCCACCAAATTCCCAAATGAACATACAGTGTCGCATCCAATACTGTGGCATCTGATTTAAATAGTTGAGCAATGTAGACTTTTTTTTAAAACGATGCGTGATTATGTTCTGTTTTTCAGTTATGTTTCATCTGTATGACACCGACAGCAATAAACTGCTCGACAGCTCGGTAAGAAAAGCGCACTGTGGCCAAAGTCTTGATTTGTAAGTCAATGGTCGTTCCGATTTGCCCTGAAAATGCATTATTCCTGTGATGTTTGGACAGCTGCTGTCAACCCACATAATCATTCTAGATTTGAAGCTTTCGTGACTGCAGGAATCCATACTCTTTGGTTCTTTCGGTAAAGTCACGTAGGTATAAAAATCAAATAAAATAAATCACGACGTTTCGGGCACATCAGGTGGGAAAGCATGGCCTGCTGCTGATGCAGACTTTTAAAGGTTTGAAATGGGTTTAGCCCAAGGGTTATAAAGGAGTGGCTGGGTCTAGTGATGTTAATGTGAGTAATTAGCATGTAACTGGGTACGGAAGTGGCTATGTTAATGTAAGAGATTAGCATGATTTTAAAGTGAGTAATTAGCATGTAACTGGGCACGGAATAATCATATTCTCCTTCTCTTTTTTAATGTTTGCATTCAGGAGGTGGACCGCATAATCACACAGATGATGCACGTGGCTGAATACTTAGAGTGGGATGTTACAGAGCTGAAACCGGTAAATATTAAACGAGACTTTTATCCGGGAAATGTTAATGCGTATTGGCTCTTGTAGAATTTTGTAATTGTTGAGACAAAGCCAAATTTGTGAACCGTTTCCTTTTTTCTTGCATAATGTCCTGCAGAACTTTCAGTTTGAATAGCACCATATTTGTATTGAGCACACGGATCATTTTCTTTGGGTAAATTATTGAGATTTCATAACAAAGGAAGATGATTAGTCTTTTATTTCTTTTACACCTTAAGGCTGGATTTACTACCCAGTAGAGCCAAAACTGAATCTCAATACCTAACAAAAAATTGACAATCCTGCTTAGAATGTTTTGCCAAAACGTTTCTCTTATATATTGCGTAGGGCAGGAACCAGAGTGACAACTGAAAACCGACATGCATGAGGGGTTAACACTCACAAATGCCACAGAGATTTGTGAGCAACATGCCCGCTGTACTTCAAGAAGTACTTTAATGCACTTGTGACCCTTGTCAATGCTATTTACCATTTTAATTGGTTCTCACGTGGTTGTAAAGATATACAATAAATTCCAGCCATTCTCAATCCACCAGTGGATGAAGGCCTCTCCAAGCCATGTCAGTCATGTTTTTAAATCCTTTATATTAAGTTCGCTTGCTTGCTTGCGTGCTTGCGTGCTTGCTTGCTTGCTTACGACTGTGCAAATCTTTCGGTCGTTTTTTAACCCACTTCCCGTGATCCAATCGAGCTGACATTTTGCACACAGGCTCGTTGTGCGAGACAATTAATGTTCGTGAAATTTTTTTTCCAAAATTTTACACTGTTTAGGGAAAACAAATTAAATATTTAACTACCAATTGCTTAATACTGGCAGACAATCATCTGACCCATAGGTGGCAGCCATCTCAAGCCAGAGGACGAGAGGACTCTAGCCGCCACGCATATAAAGGATTTATAGTGAAAAACTTTGTTTTTACGGGTTATACTTATTTTACCATTCTTCACTGCACTAGGAGGGAGGGATAGAACTGGTTCTCATATCACTCGTCACTTTGAAGTTAACCGTGTCCAAGAATCCAACTCGGGTTGCCGGGTTCATTGCACAGCAGGACTGTAATACACGTCAATGCATTCAGCCACGGGTGTTGTGTACTTTGCAGATCCTTCGCGATATGATGCAGGAGATCGACTATGACCAAGATGGCACGGTGTCTCTGGAAGAGTGGATACAAGGTGGAATGACGACGATCCCCTTGCTCGTGCTTCTCGGCCTGGAGTCGGTTGGTAGTGCATGTGCACATACGTACACTGATACAAACACCCCCCCCCCCCTCGTCCCCTGCATCCACTTGTACCTTCACACATCAACAACACCCGCAATTCGCCACTAAGTGGCGGTGATGGTCACCACAGCGCCTGTGAAGTGTTGAAGGCTCGCTTACAGGAGGTCACGGGACAGACCCAGGTGCCATGGGTTGGCTGACTGAAATGACGTGCAGCTGTGCCCTCTACTGTGGCAATTTGCTGCATTTTAGCCGCTTGGCGCTCCGCTGGTTGTTGTGAGCGTCGCTCCTCTGCCCTTCGTTGTTGTTGGAGGGCATCTGCCTCCAACTGATCGGTAGCGTCTTTCACGAGCCTTCTCCATAGAGGTCGATTTCGACACTGCTGGTACCAGTCTATGGCAAGTCCACTCAGCTTCACATCCTCCTGTACCGAATCAGTCCATCTCTTCTGCAGCCCGTGTTGTGCTCGTTTAGACCTCTCTATCGAGCCAAAGGTAAGCCGCTTCAGCATGCGGTGGCTGGGCATGCAGGTTACATGACCCAATCTTCACACACTCACTGTCCCTCAAATAATTCAGGATGGATTTGCACACACACACTCATGGGCACAGACTCTCATTGTACTTGAGCCTCATCGAAGTTTCAGCCATAGTTCAGTCAATGTATACACGTTGTGATTCCATATAATGCCCCGTAAAAAAGATATTCGTCATCTAAAGAACATTTTTGTTACTCTTCATTTGAAGACCTTGACAAGCGTCGCAACACAAATTTTGCAAAAATCACTGCCTCCTTTTATTTCATTTTAGTATCGTCTATAACGTGTTATAAAAGGTCGACAAAATATAAAATGCCTATCTTACAATGGTTTAGTATTGGTACAGTCGCCATTTGCACTGTGAGTGCCTTATGTTCATTGCAATCGCAGCACAAACCCATAGCTGTACACTTGAGTTACGCAGAAAGCTGTGGCAATGCAATACAAATGTTTCCTATCAATATTTCGAACGATCTCAGTGTGTTCAGACTAGTTAGATTGCAGTCATGGTTTGAATTTGTTCCACGCCTTTGCATTACTGTACATGGTATTGATTTTATGGCTGACGAACGTTTCATTGCATATTTTAAGTGTCTGAAGCAATAAACGTTGCCCGCCAATGTCCCCTCAGAACGTGAAGGACGACGGACAGCACGTGTGGAAATTGAAGCACTTCAACAAACCGGCGTACTGCAATTTCTGCAAGGCCATGCTCATTGGCCTGGGCAAGCAGGGCCTCTGCTGCACATGTGAGTCGAGGGATGCTGGGGTAGCCTCTCCGACCGCAAGCTCGCGAAGACGTAGGGTGTGTCGACGGGCTCCGTGCGGTAGCATTTACAATGGGTGCACTGGCTGAAATTAGGATATGAGTGTGTCTGGGATTATGACAGAGTTGGTAGGCCAGTTAATGCTTCAACTCCCAAAAAACATCTCTTGTATTGAGAGTTTGAATTTTGCTGACGGGGGAGTAAAAAAGTAAGCTCACATCAATGGTCACAGGGATAAGTGTGGAGCAAGTAATTAAATATTTAATATCACTGAATAACTCCAGTGTGTGTCTGATAATGGCAGAGTATAAAGCATAATGGTTTGTTATGCATTGATGGTCATATTCCTACACGGAGGCAATTCATTTTTTTATCTTATTGCAGTGATCTACCCATTTGTAAACATTAGCACAATTTATTTAGTTGTGACCATTTTGTCGCTTCATTATTGTTTGTAGATTTATTTTTGATTTACATTCTCAGAGGACAACGATGAAGATCAATGTACGGCTCTTCTAATGTACATTTGTACAAGGACACCACCATCTTTGATTATGTGATATGTCCACTATCTAGTGGGCAAATCTCAAACAAATTTTGCAAACGAGTATCACGGAAACGCCCCCTGGATTTTTTTTAAACATACCAAATCGACAGTCGTAGAATCACCCTCGTATTTATGACTAGCTAGATTCACGAATTAACCGCCACATGATGTGGTGCGGTGGTACAGAGGCGAGCACTCCGTGCAATGAATCTTGCAACCTGAGTTAGATTCCTGCCAATGGCTATCATCAGTGGCAAGTGATATCTGAAACAGTTATGCCCTCTCCAACTTCCTCAACCACACCATCTGGCACTGGTAAAAAAACCCTGGCTGATATGGTGTTGGGGAGGTTTTCATCCATTGGTAGATTGAGAATGACTGGATTTTGTATAATAGAAAAAACATATTTGGTGCAAACAGTTTGGAATATGCCACCGTACTATTTTAACCCTTTTGATGTCCATGTTTTCCCGTGAATATTTTTCTTACAGTCTGTAAATACACGGTCCATGAGAGGTGTGTTGCTAAGGCGCCGCTAAACTGCATCAGCACTTACGCCAAGTCCAAAAAGAGTGCCACCGTGAGTATACTGATCATTTACTCATCATTTCAAACATTCACTCGAAGAAATACTTTTATCCCAACAATAAAGACTTCTGCTTGTCCAAGTGAACACGACGCGTAATTGTGTACTTGTACATACGCGTTATTATTTTGACGATAAAAATCTTAAGGATTTCAACACTCGGCACTTGTGCAGTTGCATTCTTTGGGACTTTTGAGATTGAAAGTGCCAACGGATGATGTGATTATGCATTCTCTGTCTTGTGCAGGTGATGGACCACTATTGGGTGGAAGGCAACTGCCCTGCCAAATGCGACAAGTGCCATAAGAGCATCAAGTGCTACCAGGGCCTTACGGGGCTCCACTGCGTATGGTGTCACATAACGGTCAGCACTTGTCATTGCTTGCCAAAGTTAATTGGTTTTGGTGGTTTCTTATTATCATGACATTCATTTTTAGCCAGATATGCACTTTAGTGTGGGTAACACTTTTGACAACATTACTTTAGCAAATGCACAAGATCAGCAGCAATTTTTATTATCATTGCGAGAAGAAATAGTGGTGGGTAAACGGGTGCTAGAGTATGAAATGTAAATGCATGAATACATGCTGTCATTTGATAACGTGTTTCACAGTGCAAATTATTAGGCAAGGACTGACTCAGTAATGCGTGAATTGAAACAGATTCTCACACTCGTGGTGCTTGCATAAACGTTGTGCATGCAAGACTATGTTGTTTGCAATGCATGCAAAGTATATAATGATGTTACCTTTAGGGAAAAATAGAACAAATGAGATGGAACAAGTGAGACAAAATAAATTGGAAGCTGAATCAAATTGTGACCCCCAAATAATGTGTCAATTAGTGGGATGGATAAATAATAAAATGACAACAAACCATAAGGGAGCTGTGTACATGCATATATAAAGGTGTAAATACAAAATTTATATTTTCCGCAATAAATGCTCATGATTAGTTGTGTAATGTGTTATATCGTTTTGCATCAAATTCAGCCCCATAACTTACAGAGGGGTCCTCGCTTTTAAACAGCTGGCAGCTCACCAGCATTGGTTCAAACAAGCCTGAATCTGCTGATGAGGTACTGAATGTCAAAACCGATCCAGATTTTGCTTGTGTTGAATCAGTGTTGATGATATCATTCACAAGGCTGTGGAGCTCATGGGATGCGTAAAAATAATTACGTTTTTGATGTGCAGGGATTTTAGAGGGAGGAATGCATGTTGTATTGGTTATCTACCGTGAATAAGTTGAATACATTTCTTAATGAATATACAGTACTCTTGTTGGGTTTTTTATGTTTAATTTCTGAATGCCGATTCCATTTGCGAGCACATCCTGTATTGGAGGTGGGAACCTACAATGAGGAATAAAGGATATTAGACGCAACTCAAATGCCCCGTATTGATTCCTAAAATGCATGACTCATGACAGAATAATACGCTTATAGATGAATGCATTCATGAATGACAGCACTATTGTGTTTAAGCACTCTAAAAAATGAGTTATACTGGGTTGATATTTGATAATAACACATTACTGAAGAAGTACAATTTTTTTGTATTGTAATTTCATGTTGGTTTGAATTATTATTTTTCCAAGCCTTGTTACTGCATGATGATACTTTTACAACCACAATGCTTTAAATAACTCTTTAATGTCCTGCTCCTCTTAAATAACGTGCTGTTTACACATGAATAAAATATGATATTGAATGAAAGCACACACATTTAACATCTTACGTGTTGTATTCATATCTGCAAATCTATTTGCATGGTGGAATCATTTATTGCCGCGTGTTCCATTATATTCTTGCTTGTGGAAATGTGTTCAGGGGTTAAATGGCAATGTCGAGGTCTGCTAGCCACGAGAGGGCTTCGGGAGAGAGTTAGTGTCGATTTGCAAACTCCACTAAAGGAGCGCAGACCACACTGGTTACTACATGGCGCATTGTTACGCGCTCCAGAAAGAGCATGATTGCACCAGGATGTTAGATTGTAAACGCAAGCCTGTGCACTTAAAAGATGTGTGTGGGGACAAACCAGGGCCACCGAGAGGGGGGGGAGGAGGGGGGGCAGCGGCAGCAAAATGGGCAATTTGACTTGAGCCTCACACAAAAGAGGGCGGCACAACGGGCCTCATTTTTTATACAAATAAATAGGGGGGGGGGGGGGCTCACGTTGGAATTGCCTCCAGGAACCTCTGGGGAAGCCCTTGGAGAAACTGCCTTTAGATGACTTGTATGACTTGCCCTGTTGCATCCTGCCTTGCAGCTGCACAACAAGTGTGCTTCGCACGTGAAGCCGGAGTGTGACTGCGGTCAGTTAAAGGACCACGTCCTTCCCCCAAACACGATCTTCCCGCTAGTTCTGGTGAGGCGATTTGCATGATTCACGCGAAGACACGTCCGTCTCATTTCATTTATTACGCTTTTGAGCCAGCTGGCCAGGAGAGGGCAAAACTTAGCCAACTTAACTTAACCAAATTGATTTCTTGTAATAGATATCTATTTGGTGTTTGAACATCTTGACACATGTTTTATTGCCAGAAAGGGTAAAACATATTCTTATTTTTTAAATCCTTTATATTAAGTTCGCTTGCTTGCTTGCGCGCTTACGACCGTGCAAATCTTTCGGTCGTTTTTTAACCCACTTCCCGTGATCCAATCGAGCTGACATTTTCCACACAGACTCGTTGTGCGTGACAATTAATTTTACACTTTTTAGGAAAAAAAATTATATTTAATTACCAATTGCTTAATGGTGGCAGGCAATCATCTGACCCATAGGTGGCAGCCATCTCGAGCCAGAGGACGAGAGGACTCTAGCCGCCACGCATATAAAGGATTTATAGTGAAAAACTTTGTTTTTACGGGTTAATTTTTTCATACTTTTGATACTGACAAAAAGTACAATGATACAATTTTTTAAACTTAATATCTTATAATTGGTACTCATACTGTCCTGACATTTACAACACAGTGAGCACCAACTGAATGCTGCGAGGAAAATGTTTGCACCACCAGAACCCCCCCACCATCCCCCCCACCATCCCCCCCGCCCACACTACAATAATACTATCTAAGCGCTATAATATTAATATCTACGGACTCTATAGTAGTAACTGTACGCATCGGGGTGGGGGGGGGGGGGGAGGACATCACGTTGTGAAGAATTAACCTCAGCGTTTAGTGTTTTATTTTATAGCATGTTTAACGCTAAAGCAAATTTACCCCTCGCCCCAACCGAATGTGTGGGACTTGGTAGGGCCCTTCCCCACCACCGAATGTGTATGAGTTCTTATGGTCGATAGCACGCTATTAAATACATAAATTAATGAAAACTGCACTAAATCGCTAATTAAAGTACTTTAAAGTTGACGGATGGGAAAACGGAATAGCACTTGCTCGCCACGGGGCTTACGGCGTGGTACCGGCTATTTATTTTACGTGAACCCCACCGTTGGAGAGCCAAATCCCTCGCAAGCGTGCGCACACACACATACAGACAGACACATAATGACATTTATAGGTAAGAAGATGAAATATATTTTTATAAGAGTGATCAAAGTACGCGTAAAAAAATATTCACAGCCTGGGTGAACTGAATATGGAAGTAACCCTTGGAATAAGGGACATACAGCCCAATAATTGAATTGTGTGTTCCAGGACATTTCAACCCGTTGGGTTATAATTGGAAGTCAAAGGTTCCCAATTTCACCAATCACCGGGAATACACGATAAAACAGTTCTGACTGCGCGGAGACTTTTTTGGACGCCCTGTACATTCTATAAATATCAAAGCTGGTTACAGACACCTGGCATCTTTCGACGCTAAAGCTCCGTTTCCCCCCGTGTGTGCACGTGTGCGTATATGGACATGTGAGCCACAGGAGCGACAGATGTCGGTGCAGAGGACAGACAGTGGCAGCGGCGTGTCGCTGGACGACGACGTACTGCGGCGTTTTCAGCGCACCAACTCGGTGACAGGCGACGGGCACGCTCTGCAGGTCTGTGTCTGGTGCAGCTGTGTGGTTTGGTAGTACACAGAGCCCCGGATGCTGCTGGTAAAAAAAAAAGGGTTTGGTAAAAAATAAAAACATCTTTTAAAACACAGATACACAGATGCGCCCCGGATGCTGCTGGTAAAAAAAATGGTTTGGTAAAAAATATATATCTGAAAAAAAATACAGATACACCAGAGCCCCGGATGCTGCTGGTAAAAAAAATGGTTTGGTAAAAAAAATATATCTGAAAAAAAATACAGATACACCAGAGCCCCGGATGCTGCTGGTAAAAAAAATGGTTTGGTAAAAAATATATATCTGAAAAAAAATACAGATACACCAGAGCCCCGGATGCTGCTGGTAAAAAAAATGGTTTGGTAAAAAAAATATATGTGAAAAAAAATACAGATACACCAGAGCCCCGGATGCTGCTGGTAAAAAAAATGGTTTGGTAAAAAAAATATATCTGAAAAAAAATACAGATACACCAGAGCCCCGGATGCTGCTGGTAAAAAAAATGGTTTGGTAAAAAAAATATATCTGAAAAAAATACAGATACACCAGAGCCCCGGATGCTGCTGGTAAAAAAAATGGTTTGGTAAAAAATATATATCTGAAAAAAAATACAGATACACCAGAGCCCCGGATGCTGCTGGTAAAAAAAATGGTTTGGTAAAAAAAATATATCTGAAAAAAAATACAGATACACCAGAGCCCCGGATGCTGCTGGTAAAAAAAATGGTTTGGTAAAAAATATATATCTGAAAAAAAATACAGATACACCAGAGCCCCGGATGCTGCTGGTAAAAAAAATGGTTTGGTAAAAAATATATATCTGAAAAAAAATACAGATACACCAGAGCCCCGGATGCTGCTGGTAAAAAAAATGGTTTGGTAAAAAATATATATCTGAAAAAAAATACAGATACACCAGAGCCCCGGATGCTGCTGTGGTGTAATGGTCAGCACACTGGGCTTTCAATCCAGAGGGTCGCCGGGTTCCACCTCCCGATGCGGCAGTCGAAACAATGGGCACATTATTAAACCCGTCCCACCTCTGCTCACCCAGCAGTATGCACGGGTGCGCCAGAGTGGATCGGCATGTTGCATGTAGTGGGGTTTAGTGTGGGTAATCCCCAGAGGTGGGACAAAGTCATTGTTATGCAAGTCCAAGTCGAGTCTGAAGTCATCAAATTCATGACTCGAGTCTGACTCGAGTCCAAGTCACATGACTCGAGTCCACACCTCAGAGGTGGGACAAAGTCATTGTTATGCAAGTCCAAGTCGAGTCTGAAGTCATCAAATTCATGACTCGAGTCCACACCTCAGAGGTGGGACAAAGTCATTGTTATGCAAGTCCAAGTCGAGTCTGAAGTCATCAAATTCATGACTCGAGTCTGACTCGAGTCCAAGTCACATGACTCGAGTCCACACCTCAGAGGTGGGACAAAGTCATTGTTATGCAAGTCCAAGTCGAGTCTAAAGTCATCAAATTCATGACTCGAGTCTGACTCGAGTCCAAGTCACATGACTCGAGTCCACACCTCAGAGGTGGGACAAAGTCATTGTCATGCAAGTCCAAGTCGAGTCTGAAGTCATCAAATTCATGACTCGAGTCTGACTCGAGTCCAAGTCACATGACTCGAGTCCACACCTCAGAGGTGGGACAAAGTCATTGTTATGCAAGTCCAAGTCGAGTCTGAAGTCATCAAATTCATGACTCGAGTCTGACTCGAGTCCAAGTCACATGACTCGAGTCCACACCTCAGAGGTGGGACAAAGTCATTGTTATGCAAGTCCAAGTCGAGTCTGAAGTCATCAAATTCATGACTCGAGTCTGACTCGAGTCCAAGTCACATGACTCGAGTCCACACCTCAGAGGTGGGACAAAGTCATTGTTATGCAAGTCCAAGTCGAGTCTGAAGTCATCAAATTCATGACTCGAGTCTGACTCGAGTCCAAGTCACATGACTCGAGTCCACACCTCAGAGGTGGGACAAAGTCATTGTTATGCAAGTCCAAGTCGAGTCTGAAGTCATCAAATTCATGACTCGAGTCTGACTCGAGTCCAAGTCACATGACGCGAGTCCAAAACCTCAAGGTGGGACAAAGTCATTGTTATGCAAGTCCAAGTCGAGTCTGAAGTCATCAAATTCAGGACTCGAGTCTGACGCGAGTCCAAGTCACATGACTCGAGTCCACACCTCAGAGGTGGGGACAAAGTCATTGTTATGCAAGTCCAAGTCGAGTCTGAAGTCATCAAATTCATGACTCGAGTCTGACTCGAGTCCAAGTCACATGACTCGAGTCCACACCTCAGAGGTGGGACAAAGTCATTGTCATGCAAGTCCAAGTCGAGTCTGAAGTCATCAAATTCATGACTCGATTCTGACATCGAGTCCAAGTCACATGACTCGAGTCCACACCTCAGAGGTGGGACAAAGTCATTGTTATGCAAGTCCAAGTCGAGTCTGAAGTCATCAAATTCATGACTCGAGTCTGACTCGAGTCCAAGTCACATGACTCGAGTCCACACCTCAGAGGTGGGACAAAGTCATTGTTATGCAAGTCCAAGTCGAGTCTGAAGTCATCAAATTCATGACTCGAGTCCACACCTCAGAGGTGGGACAAAGTCATTGTTATGCAAGTCCAAGTCGAGTCTGAAGTCATCAAATTCATGACTCGAGTCCACACCTCAGAGGTGGGACAAAGTCATTGTTATGCAAGTCCAAGTCGAGTCTGAAGTCATCAAATTCATGACTCGAGTCCACACCTCAGAGGTGGGACAAAGTCATTGTTATGCAAGTCCAAGTCGAGTCTGAAGTCATCAAATTCATGACTCGAGTCCACACCTCAGAGGTGGGACAAAGTCATTGTTATGCAAGTCCAAGTCGAGTCTGAAGTCATCAAATTCATGACTCGAGTCTGACTCGAGTCCAAGTCACATGACTCGAGTCCACACCTCAGAGGTGGGACAAAGTCATTGTTATGCAAGTCCAAGTCGAGTCTGAAGTCATCAAATTCATGACTCGAGTCCACACCTCAGAGGTGGGACAAAGTCATTGTTATGCAAGTCCAAGTCGAGTCTGAAGTCATCAAATTCATGACTCGAGTCCACACCTCAGAGGTGGGACAAAGTCATTGTTATGCAAGTCCAAGTCGAGTCTGAAGTCATCAAATTCATGACTCGAGTCCACACCTCAGAGGTGGGACAAAGTCATTGTTATGCAAGTCCAAGTCGAGTCTGAAGTCATCAAATTCATGACTCGAGTCTGACTCGAGTCCAAGTCACATGACTCGAGTCCACACCTCAGAGGTGGGACAAAGTCATTGTTATGCAAGTCCAAGTCGAGTCTGAAGTCATCAAATTCATGACTCGAGTCTGACTCGAGTCCAAGTCACATGACTCGAGTCCACACCTCAGAGGTGGGACAAAGTCATTGTTATGCAAGTCCAAGTCGAGTCTGAAGTCATCAAATTCATGACTCGAGTCTGACTCGAGTCCAAGTCACATGACTCGAGTCCACACCTCAGAGGTGGGACAAAGTCATTGTTATGCAAGTCCAAGTCGAGTCTGAAGTCATCAAATTCATGACTCGAGTCTGACTCGAGTCCAAGTCACATGACTCGAGTCCACACCTCAGAGGTGGGACAAAGTCATTGTTATGCAAGTCCAAGTCGAGTCTGAAGTCATCAAATTCATGACTCGAGTCTGACTCGAGTCCAAGTCACATGACTCGAGTCCACACCTCAGAGGTGGGACAAAGTCATTGTTATGCAAGTCCAAGTCGAGTCTGAAGTCATCAAATTCATGACTCGAGTCTGACTCGAGTCCAAGTCACATGACTCGAGTCCACACCTCAGAGGTGGGACAAAGTCATTGTTATGCAAGTCCAAGTCGAGTCTGAAGTCATCAAATTCATGACTCGAGTCTGACTCGAGTCCAAGTCACATGACTCGAGTCCACACCTCAGAGGTGGGACAAAGTCATTGTTATGCAAGTCCAAGTCGAGTCTGAAGTCATCAAATTCATGACTCGAGTCTGACTCGAGTCCAAGTCACATGACTCGAGTCCACACCTCAGAGGTGGGACAAAGTCATTGTTATGCAAGTCCAAGTCGAGTCTGAAGTCATCAAATTCATGACTCGAGTCTGACTCGAGTCCAAGTCACATGACTCGAGTCCACACCTCAGAGGTGGGACAAAGTCATTGTTATGCAAGTCCAAGTCGAGTCTGAAGTCATCAAATTCATGACTCGAGTCTGACTCGAGTCCAAGTCACATGACTCGAGTCCACACCTCAGAGGTGGGACAAAGTCATTGTTATGCAAGTCCAAGTCGAGTCTGAAGTCATCAAATTCATGACTCGAGTCTGACTCGAGTCCAAGTCACATGACTCGAGTCCACACCTCAGAGGTGGGACAAAGTCATTGTTATGCAAGTCCAAGTCGAGTCTGAAGTCATCAAATTCATGACTCGAGTCTGACTCGAGTCCAAGTCACATGACTCGAGTCCACACCTCAGAGGTGGGACAAAGTCATTGTTATGCAAGTCCAAGTCGAGTCTGAAGTCATCAAATTCATGACTCGAGTCTGACTCGAGTCCAAGTCACATGACTCGAGTCCACACCTCAGAGGTGGGACAAAGTCATTGTTATGCAAGTCCAAGTCGAGTCTGAAGTCATCAAATTCATGACTCGAGTCTGACTCGAGTCCAAGTCACATGACTCGAGTCCACACCTCAGAGGTGGGACAAAGTCATTGTTATGCAAGTCCAAGTCGAGTCTGAAGTCATCAAATTCATGACTCGAGTCTGACTCGAGTCCAAGTCACATGACTCGAGTCCACACCTCAGAGGTGGGACAAAGTCATTGTTATGCAAGTCCAAGTCGAGTCTGAAGTCATCAAATTCATGACTCGAGTCTGACTCGAGTCCAAGTCACATGACTCGAGTCCACACCTCAGAGGTGGGACAAAGTCATTGTTATGCAAGTCCAAGTCGAG